ACAACGATTTTTTTTTTTTAAGAATCAATTTGTATTATATTTTAATTAATATACGACTATATATTTAACAGAGTTGGGACGTATAGCAATTAAAGTGTTTAAAAAACAATCTTAGATGTACGTTTTGTACTTGAAATTCTATACTTTAAATTATATTATTTAGCCCATTTTTACTATGACCCATACTATGTCAGTCGTTTAATTTTTTTTTTTTTACTTTTCTGTGTAAAAGAAATTAGTAATTAATACGACTAATAACTAAAATTTACAGAAAACTACAAAAAAAATTATTAGAAACATGTGTGTTTAGAGAAACGTTTTAAAAGTATTTAAAATGAGAAAATAATAATAAAATACTAAAACCTATATCAAGTACAACATTTATTTTTAAGGTTTATTTTGAAGCACTCAAATTGAAATACGGCCCATAACATTGGTAATGATGTAGTAGTAAAGACACAGAAAACCCCATCACTTCAATACATTTTAAGCTCTGCATCATTAAGAGATTTTACTTCAATTTTTGGGTTTTGAATTTTTACATAATAAATCAGGTACAATTTCTGGTCAACAGACTTGATGCATGATCCGTCACGTAAAAGATGAGTTGAGCGTTTTTTCATTTTTCAAAACTTCACAAATTATTAAGCAAAGCAATTGTTTTTAGGTCTAAATCTAATTTTCACTGCTTAATTTAAATATAGGTTTAATCCGTATTAGTTTACTTAAACTATACAATTCAGCAATGTTTCTAGTGTACTTACATTTTTATTTGAAATCCAGACAGGCGGTCATACGGATTGACAATTACATAAAAACCTACTCTGAATTCAGTACATTTATTGTGCTTATTTGTTTCATTAGTCACTTGAACATCGCCGCTTGAAGCAAATACAAACAGTGTACACAATAAAACATTAGCATGGTGAGTACTTATAGAAATTAACAAAGTGGTTTCTTAATTTTGGAAAATCCAATGTCGCCTAAATGCGTTTGTGTTTTAATTAAATCCTACGTGCCAGTTCTTTAGACCGTTTCGGCGAACAAGTTTTCAACTAAAATAGTTTAAAATAAATTGACATTTCATTGTATAGTAAATAATATATTCAATAAAAAGTTGGCGACAACTATCAACTTATTCCGCGACGGAACGTTTTCACGAAAGTAATTTTGTTTCATCACATTGAAATGCCACCACGACTTTCAATTAAAAGCCTTTTTGCATTTTCCATTGACATATTAAGATTTAAATTAGATAAACTAACAATGATTAATTTTTAGCTTCACTCCAGATTCAATTTCAGTCTAGTTGTCAAACTTTTAGTCGTAAAACTCTGCTCGAAAAAGATAAATAAAGAAAAAATGTCCTCTCCTTCTAGCGAAAATGGTTTGATGGAGAGCCTGGTCAGTGCATTAGGAACAAAATTGATTTTCTGGTGGCTTTTAGCTGCCATTGAAACTGTAAAAAGATAAATAAAGATTTAACTTGAAAAAAAAATACATAATATGCTCAACATTAGACAAAATTAGCATAATTAAACCATTGCTTCGCTTTTTGTATTGCAGTTGTGATTTACCATTGTAATTAGTGTACGTTAAAGCTTATCTGTTTAGTTATATATTTACCAAGATGAATTACTGTTGATAATTACTTTATGTTGGTTACGTCTTAGGTTACTTTTATATAATTGAATACTTCTTAGAAAAAATAGTTACAGTCTACTTAAAGCTGGACGGCTAAAATTATAAAACATGGAAACATGCTTTAGCCGGCTGTCTCGTGAATAGCGATTATTCTTGATCTATAATCTCCTTTCGAATTATGATGATAGTATTGTCTTAATTAGATGTTCTAGCCAAACGTTTGCATGACGACGACGACTCGTTATTATTTCGATGGCATCTTATACGTTTAAAGTAGGCGCGCTACTTTAGTACCGCAATTTAGTGTCTTTTTCGGGATGGGGGGTCAAGGCAAAAGCATGTTCCATGCTAAAATATTTAAAATAGTAAAAACAATGTTAATATTTTACATATGAGCTCACCGCATGAAATATAGTTAGGTAAAAGCTAGGTATAAAGTTAGGTATGAGCACTTGTGCGGTTGCACTAGGACTACACAACGACTTTATTACGGGCTTAATATATTCTTGTTTACTATGCGATGGCAAAAGTTTTTCCTGACTGTTAAAAATTACTAGAAGTTACCTTAAATGACCCAATTTGTTTTACACGAGCCTGAAAGAAAAATAATAAAACCTTGTGTGTTTCGCGTTACACGCCACAAGAAAATCTATCACGTAAAATCGTTTTGTAAGATAAAATATATTTTTTTGCATCTAATTTTATTTTGCGATAACAAAATGTTCAACGTTATTAATAAAGCAAAACAGAATACAACCTTTTCTCTTTACAGTCGCTTAAATAAAATATTAAAAAACAAACAGAAATTTAAAATAAGTTAATATTGACTTTTATTTTATTTTGGAAATTGTTAGCCATAAAACAGCGCATTGTTGAAAACTATAGATTTTTTTTTTTAAGTTTCCTTCTCGACATACCATAATTTTCCCATTTAGAGTACAAGCTTTCAACTGATGAAATACAATAATATGTATGTAACTATAGCACCAATATTTTGTATGCACCAATGTAGTGATATTGCATACCCAATGCGCCGCGCCGTCTGTGAAAATCTTGGCTTACAGCCAAATTTCGTTGGACTATTTGTCGAGATAATTATTTTGTAATATACTTGTTGGCGCCATTTCAAGTGGAAATAGACATACTCGAAACTCTGTAAGTTAAAATCAATAATATTGCAGTTGTCGTAATCAATAAATCTTCCACTAAGACAATGCAATCTAACAAATTTAGATTTCTTGGAATGCTCTAGCTATAGATTTTAAGTGTTTCAATATATTAGCCATCCCCAACTCCTCTGAAATCGTACTAGTGAATTTTGTCTTTATTTGCCTAACAGTGGCAGTAAAAAAAAAAATGTTATCTCTAAGAGTATCGTTCAATGATTTACGCTTGATAATAATTCAATTGATTCTACACGCTTAGATGATATATAAAACTAAAAGAACATTTTTACCGTTCATTCGACAATAGTTAAGTACTAAACATGAATTGGCATTTTTATTTAGAATTGTCACCTTGCTCGATTAGTATTTGTAATATTGACAACCATAAACATTTTAAAAGTAACATTAAAATATTGTATTTGATTACAAATTTTAATCTCGACTATTCAAGTTATGTGAACAACGATCAATGTAATATATAACGAGTTGATGTTTAATGGAAATTGTCATTTTATAGTAAAATAAATGTTTAATACTACAACGTTTATAGGCTCGTAGCAATAAAACTTTGATTGCTATACTTTTTTTTTTGTTATGTACAGGTCATAATTAATTTTAAAGTCCTGACTTTTCCATAAGTGGACGTTAAAAAATAAAAACAAGCGACAACCGTATTATCTATTTAGCAGGTTCATTAGTATTAAAAACAAAAGTACGGAGTGTCCAACTGATTATTTTTTTTAATATAGTGTATAAATGTTTTTTGCTTTGTAAAAACATTTGTATTGACCAAACGAAATTGTAGAGTTGCTTTATTTGAAGGGTTGTAACGTTATTTGTTCAGAAATACAATTTGCAATATTCAATTAAAAAATAAAACGAAAAAAGGTTTACATTAATGATCTAGGAAAAACAGCATTGACAAGTAAATTAAAATTTTACTTTATTCAAATTGATTAACCTTAATTAGTGTGTTTTAATTAGTAAATTAGAAAAAATGGGTAACCAGATAAGAACGAGTATTACATTTTAAACAAATATAAATGCATTTTTAAAAAGCTGACAATAAACAGATAAGAATATTATAGTTTTTGTAAAAATATGTATAAGGGACAATTTGTATTGGTTCAGTTAAATATTAATGTTTATAGCATACCTAATATGGAGATTCGGTCAAGTGGAAAATGAGTTTTTATTTTTTGCTATCAGAATTATACACGTACACCGGATTTATATACAATTTAAATGTTTCATGTAAATATGCCACGTCGTTGAAATAATATCATAAATGCTTTACATTTTATTTACCAGGCCTACATCCATGAAATATGAAGATGAAATGTTTTTAACATCTGGCGTTAATGAAACCTTTTCCGGTAAAGAATAGATCCATTACGGAAACTGTTGCGTCATTTTTTACGGGATAAAATACATAATTCATATTAGGCCGCGACGGATTTAAATAATTTAAATATTCTGGAATCGTTGATTTTCCAAACTCAGTGAATATAAACATCAAAACCGCTACTACCAATAAACCCTAATAATAATAAAAATATTACAATTAAAACCATAAATCAATAAAAACGACAAAACTCGGTTTATAGATTTGGACAAAAAATTAGAAAATATATATATTGATATGAAGCTTCAAAAACTAGGATATACCCATATAGTTCATGTATATATATATATATATATATATATTACATATATTCGTTAATATGAATTAATAGACCGGCTTTCACTGAAAGAAAACAAACAACGTTATCGTTTTTAACTTTGAGCCCTAACAAACCGCAATTGTGAGTTGACAATACTGTAAGTTCTGGCACGAAAAACTTTTCTTTACTAGTTTTACCCCATTGCGGTTTTAAACTCCTTTGGATTTCACGCCCACTTATAATGTGAAACTGTAAACCATACACCTACGGTTAAATACTAGAATAACATAAAAATGCTGAAAAAACATTTTTTAAGCTCATTATTGTCATAGGTACAGTGCATTTATTAATACTTTTTTTTTTTTTTTGTAATAATATACCATTTAAATATAGTTGAAAAGGCCAAAAACTATTGTAATCACTTTTTGTTGGTAACCTTGAGCAAATTATCGCAAGCAAACAATTTTAAGCACATCATAGCTATTACAATGGTTCCGTTAATTTTGAATTTTCTTATTCCTTTTAGGAGAGGTTCAGAGTGATGGCCAACGTTGCCGTGAACCGAGCTAACATGCTGACTAGAATCTGGAAGTATGCAAACCCTGGCGTAACGGCTTCTGAGTATCTATTGCACGCCAGTGTGATTTCCATGGTGGAATTCGACGACGACATATTTGCGGCTGGCAACTGTTACGATCAAAATCAGTACAAGGATTATTGGCTGTTCTGCCCGTACGCTTACAGGTTGCCCGACGGCAAAGGAATATTGGCCAAAGACTTGGCGGTCGAATACAAGTATTTGTCGAACACCAGCGAATGGTTTTACATAGCTCGGCAGAAAGCACAAGGCGTGATTAAACGCAACAACCAGTACAGTCACGGTGAGTGTTTGGATGTTATGTTTAATAGTATATAGGCGAAACACCAATGTAATTTTACACTCTAAATAAAATACCAAGAGTAAGTTTAAAAACACTATCAAACTGCATAATTTTTGTTTGCATCCCGTCACATCCGTAGTGTATTCAAATTACATTGTAAAAAAAAAATAGTTAAAACAGTTTATCGTACAAACCGTTTTAGTCCAATAAAAAAAGTACAGCGTTTTAGCTCCGATGCGATTTGAGAAAAGGTATTGGTTTTATAAAGGTGTATTTTTGGTGTCTCTGAGCAACTGTCTGGGGAAAGAAATGGCCACCTGCGCCTCTCTCTGGGGCCAACATGTTTGATAGCGTTAGGTCGGCGGCCAGCTATAAGCTATAAGCCCAAAAATGCCAAATCTATACAGTCTTTGCCCCGATCGGTGGGAATAACGGACGTTAAACGTAAGAGAGAGAGAAGAAAGAAAAGGTAAGTTTTATATAATACATTAATTTATTTACATAAATACATCCATTAACCTGTATTACGTGATAGTGAAACAGAATATACTATTAAAACATATTATTATTGATATGATTAGCTCCGCATTGATGCTCAAAACACGCATGTCGTCTATAAAATTCTCATTGTAATTCAACAATGATTATAAGGTCAATGTGTCATAAAGTTTGCAAAACGTTATAATAGAAATACACATCACAAAATCGCAACAAAAAAAAAAATCATTATTATTATTTCGTTTAAGATGCTTATATTGAAGAAAAAATATTACAACACAACAATTATTAGGATTAACTATGTAAACAGAAGAGAAAAAAATATTATTATACTATGACTATTAAAATAGTATTTATATCATTGCATTAATATTTATTATTCATTGTTAAATCATTTAACTCATAGTTAAGGTTTCATTTCTTTCGGCGGACACTATTATACGAATAAATGTGCCGTCTAGTGGTAGTAATGTACATCCTATAGTAAAAATATACACATTTAGCGTTTCGGAATTATGATAGATCTGGTCGTACACGTCTCCGTAGTCTTCTGAAACTTGTACTTCATTTAATTGTCGATCGATGTCGGACGCACTAGCGAGTCCCATATCGTCTACATCATAACAAAAATAATTTCTCGTATACTTTTCCCGAGCCGCGAGTTGATCCAGGCTAATGTTTTCTAAGTCGTCCATCATAATGTGTAACGCAGACCAGTAGATGTTTTCCTTAAACCGAAACATCCTCAAAACAATTTTCAGAGTTGGAACGAGCGTGTTCCACAAATGGCTCAGTGATGCGTCGTGGACGTAAGTTGGTCGGCTTCTTATAGTGTGATATATATGCAAGTGCAACCATACGAAGTGCACAAGCCTTAAGTGGATGCATTTGGAAATCAGGTCATTGTACTTATTACCGCCGATCGGGTCCAATTCCCAGCTATGATCCGATTCGAGCCTAACGTTGGACCCGGCGTGCGAAAACAACTGATGTGTGACAGAGTTCGTATCGAGTTGGTAACCATACATGGACCAACTGGAAAAGCTAAAGGGACGTGTATATATATGCCTCAACATGAGATTCTTTACTGTGTAGAATTCTAGATTTCTGTAGCCGTCCAACTCACTGCTTCTGTACAACAATTCCATCTGCGAATAAACACCGTCGACGAGCCTGGCTATCATTTCCATTAGCGGAACTGCGGCCTCGCCTCGATACAGTAAATATTTTTCTTGGACACATTGTCTGACGATCCCGAACGGCTTATGCCACATGCGTTTGTAGTTGTTTCTGAAATGTTCTCTGTACAGACTTAAGTTGACGTTTGGAGCCGCGAGACCCTCCACAAAGGTGAACACTTCGATTTGCCATTCGTAAGCGTTCCATTGCGCTATGTTCAACAGCGACAACATGTTTTTCAGATAATGTTGATGGCGCGAAACAGGCTCAATTGCTCGCAGTTCTCCCATCACTTTCAAAACGAACAATCCGTGTATACACTGGATCGCTTCCATTTTCCGGCGGTACTTACTAACGGACGCTTCTTTCCGATTCAAACAATTTGTGTCAAGGTCGCACTCTTCCGTAAGATACTTAATGTCAATGTCTTCAAAGTGAACATCCGTCTCGGCTAACGTCGGCATATCATTTAACGATCGTACAAGTTCCACGCGATATAACTTCTCTAAGCATTCCTATATCGATTGTGTTGTCACGACGGTTACATATAAAATAGATAGCATTTTGTGTTACAAAAGTTATATCCCATTAAAAAACGTCATATAAATATTATTACTAAGATAATACATTATTTATACGTTAATTGTTTGAAAAATGATAATGCGAGTTAATTGCAATATTTTTTATTTATATAATTATTACATATTACTTTATAGTTTTTTTTAATAAATTATTAAACCAATAAAAAATTAAAAGTAGAATTTTATTTAGCCAAATAACTAAACATACTTTTAATATTATTTTAAAGTATATAGGTACGACTTATCATCAATCTATTATAAAGTTATAATAATTGTTAACCGATTGTTTACTTTACCTGTTGATTTTCGTTGGAACCTGAACTCTAGAAGTAGAAACGCATTTTATGAATTAAGTAATTTGAAAATTGTGTATTATTTCATATAAAAAAATGATTTAATATAATTTTTTTTTTGTTATGTTTTAGAGCATTTTAGGTGTTATATAAAATCTCAAAACCTAGGTCTGCTTTCTCACTTTTACTTTCATAAAATGTCTGTATATTACATTATAGTTATATTATATGTGTAAAAGTAAACAAAAATGAAAAGTAATAATTTAAAAAATACAATAACGTGTATGTGTGTGCATAATTTGTTTTTGTATAGCCAAGGTTTCAAAAAAAAAAGACCTGTATTATATTTTCTGATAATTTTAGTATTTAGAACGTACAATGTCAACCTAGATTTCCCAAGATCGAAACCAACGCTCTAAAACATTTTTGAAATTTACTTACAGCTGTTTTATTTATTTAAAACTTATCATTGATAATATTTTTATTCTATATTTATTAAATAAAATAAATATTATTTTATGGGGTTATGAAAGATATGCAATACATTTTGTACCTGGTAAAAAAAATTATTAAAAGGCTTCAGTTAATTATATTTACCTCTCCTGGAGTGTTTGGTGCTATTACTAAAACGCTAAGGCACGCCAACAAAAATGTAATTTTCCAAGTCATTGTTTCGTTTACCTAATATGAAAATATATAATACTAACAAACAAGTAGAGAAGTGTAAGTCAGATACAGCACTATACTGAATTTCAATGGTTTGACATTTCATTATTTTTGGCCGGTTAAAATAACGCATGAATACAGATGGCCTTAGTTAAATAAAAAAATATATATATAAATTTTAGCTTAGATGCGGAGCAGTGATACTATTGGTTTTATAATGATGTGGGTTTTTTTTTTGTGTCTGTGTAAACTGTAACTTTTTTAATACAAAACCAATTCTTTCGAATTGCAACTTAAAAATTACAAATTTTACCTAGTTGATACAGTAAGGTCAAACAATTGCAAAACTTCACTTATACTTTCTTAAAATTTAAAGAAAAAAATAATCATACTAGTTTCAAAGTTTCAAGTTTTGCCGGATATAACTTCGAGAAAAAGTATGGGATCCAGTTGATATTTATATGAAATTTTTATTTGATATGCCTTATATACGTCAACAGTCTCAACTTAAGTTATTCCCATTTCCCAACCCCCCAAAGAGGATGCAAGTTTTTTGTGTTTTTTAGCCGTTGTTTTAGGACTAAACTAGCCAACTTAATAAGAGATTAGTATCTATACTGTAGTGAAACCGCCATTTTGTAAATTTGAGCATTTTAAAACAGTTAAATATTTTTCGCAAGATATACGGTTTTAATAAATGCTATTTAAGAGTCTGTTTAGACTATAGATCGCGAGACACTTATATACACAAAAATGTTAACGCTTTCATTTTTTAAGTTTTAATAGGCACATATAGCCATAAAATAAATAATAAACTAAAAAACACGTGTGCACATTACAGACAAGGTAAACATTAAAAACACCTAACCTGTGTAGTTTGTCCACGTTATTTTATTAGAAATGTAATGTATTATATATATATATATATTGTTATTCAAAATTGCAAAAAATATTTTAAATCATGTCAAGTTATATTAACATGTGATCACACAAATGCATGAAAACGAAATTTGAGGGCAACAGCTTTTACAAACAGTTTTTTACTGTAGAAACACAGGGTATTCTTAAAAATTTAAATGGAATAGTTATTTTGCGTACACATTTTCAGAATGAACCGTTTGTTTGAAATTGATTATATCACTTTCAAATAAAATAACTTTTAACTGAACCTTATTTGACCTCCCCGTCAAGTTAAGTTGCAGGGTACTGTCAGTATCTTGGGATTAACAAAGTAACTTTATCTCTATATCCCCCGTGGTTTAATTCTAATTTGAAAATGAATGACCGATATCAATAACATGATTTAAAAATGTGATAGTACGATCTACTCTACCCAAATAAAGTTAAGTGTATGAAATTTGCTTTATAAGAATCAGAATACAATTTTTATTGTTGTGACTAAGCTAGAATAAATAAGTAATTTCTTGATCCCAACTAGTTTGACAGAGAAGTTTGTTCCATTTAAACTTGTTTACTGTTTATATAGAATATTATATGTAGTGTGCTACTCATTTCTACTCAATATTCTGAGAAACAAGAATGTATTATAATTCAAAATCGCACATTCTAACGTTGCTTTAAAATATTACCTTAACCTTAGTTTCAATAAACATCATGGAACAAACACTTTTTCCAGTGTTGTACATGTCAATCAGCCACACAAAGAAATCGTTGATTCAAGCTAACACAATGTAAAATATTATACAGATCCACACATTATAATGTTTGGTTCATTTGTGTCTGATAAAAAAAAACTAAATGTGACGTTTAAAATTCAGGTTTTTTTTTACAATGAGGTAATCTCTCAATAAATTACTACAATCTCTACAAATTAACCTCTTATATTACTCAAACAAGCATTTGCATTGTTTTAGATTTATTTAGTCAATAAAAAATTGAAATGAAAACTTAACGCAAAAGAATAAATACAATTTTCACCGCTCAAGTTCAAAGTATTATTTTAAAGTATACTCATAATTCCATTGTAATAACTGTAAATTAATTGTTTACTTTACCTCCTGATTATTGTTTGTACCTGAACTCTAGAAGTAGAAACGCATTTTATTAATTTAGTAATTTGAAATTTGTATATTAATTCAAAAAAAAAAAAAAAAAATTGAATAAGTCTAAATAAACAAGAACTTGTTTTAAAGTGCGCAAGTCCTATAAAAATCATGAAAAACTTTTATCTTTCCCGAGTAGATACGCTAAAAATGCTGTATAAATATTTAATAAAATTAAAAGTAATAAATTGAAAAATTGAAACAAATATTTAAAGTATGATAAAATTGCTTTAATTTTTTATCCTAAGAATGCAAAACGTTTTGTGGGGTTATGAAAAAACATAAAATAAATGTTTTAACTACTAAAATAATATTTAAAAGATATTAGTTGATTATATTTACCTCTCCTGGAAAATATTGGGGAGTTCTTGGTGCTATTACTAAGACGTTAAAACACGCCAACATAAATGTAATTTTCCAAAACATTTTATGTTTATCTAGTATGAAACAATAAAGTGTTTAAAGCTATATGATTTCTAATGTTATAAACCAATTCCTTTGAGTAACTATGTAAATCATAAATTTCACCTAGTTGGTACTTTTAAATTTAATAGATACATATAGTCATAAAATCAATAACGTCGTACATCTCTTCCAAGTATTCCAATTTCAATGTTTTAACGTTAACAAATAAATCAAATTAAGTATCGAAAATTTTGTACGAAAAATGTGCTTCTACGTCAATAGAAATCACTTCCTCCACATAAAGTTCAGTGTACTTTTTAAAACAGGTCGTGTAGGTATTGTCAACCTAGGGCCTCTAAAACATCTAAAGATGTAGTAAATTAAAAGTAGTAAAGTAAAAAAATAACGTGCAAGAGTATTGCTCAAATATTTAAAAAAAAATTTAGGTTAGAAAAAAAATATCAGATATTATATTACTTATACGATAGCTACTTTTGTCGTTACAATGATTTATAAACTGTTTTTTACGATTTATCAAGTTAACTTCTAAAGAACAAGGTATTTAGTATTATTTATATTGCTGGTTTCCCCTGTACATGATTTATGTAATACTTAAAAAGTAACCTCAAGTCATGTAAACAGTGTAAATATATTACCCCACTCAAGTTTTAATAATTTTTTAAGTATTACATAAATCAAGTACAGTGAAAACCAGCAATATAAAAATTAACACAATATAAAAAAAATATATAAAATACTAACTCTTGCAAACATTTTCAGTACATAATATTATAGGTAAGTGATATAATAGTATTGTACTAGTTTTATTAATTAACTCCTCAACTCCTCGTAACATATCCGTTAAGTAGTATTTTGTGTTTGTCTAATAGAATATATTATTGAAACATATGATTGTTATTGTTATTATTAGCTCCGCACCAACGCTAAAAACACTCTATAATCTGATTTTAATAATTACAAAATTGTCATAGCTCAACAATGCTTCTAAGGTCAATGTAACATGCAGTTTGAAAGGAGTTATAGTGGAAATATACATGTAAATCGCAAAACAAAATTTTGATTATTATTTATTAAGTGCGTATATTAGAGAAAAAACAATACAGCATACAAATTATAATGATAACTATGTAAACAGAAAAGAAGAATATAGGTATTTATTAGAAATTGTATTACATTATTATTATTATTTAAATTTTCAATTTCTAAATCGTTTAATGCATATAAAAGGTTTCATTTCCTTCAGCAGAAACTATAAAACGAACAAACGTGCCATCGATTGGCTGTAATGAATATTCTAATTTCATAATGAAAATCATTAGTGCATAAGAATTACAATCGATATCATCGTACATGTCTTTGGGCTCTTCTGGAACTTTTGAATCTATTAATTGTTGATTAATGTCGGATGTATCAGCGGGTCTTAAATCTTCTAAAGCTTGACAAAAATATTTTCTTGTATACGCTTCCTGTGCGGCGAGTTTTTCTTTGCTAATATTATTTAAGTCGTCCATCATAATGTGTACTGCAGACCAGTGCATGTTTCCCTTAAACCTAAGTAACCTTAAGATTTTTTTCAGACATTTAACGGGCTTATTCCAGGCTTGATGCATTTGTTCGTCAACTTCAATCTCTCGGTTTTTTAAGGTGCTGTATACGTGTAAGTGTAACAATACGAAGTACACAATCCTTAAGTGGATACCTTTTGAAATCAGGATATTGTAGTAATTATTTCCAACCGGATCCAATGCCCTTTCAAGACACCATTGTTGCGAAATGTTTGACATGCCATATCCTCGACACTGCCGTTCGATTTTTTCTGTATCAACTTGGCGGCGGTACATCCCCCATTCAAAAATGAAATCATGCTTTGGATACAGATGATGCAACATGAGATTCTTTACTGTGTAGGCTTCTTGGGTATGTAACTCACAGCTTTCGTACATCGACACCATCGGCAAATAAACATCTTCGACAAGACTGTTTATCGTTGACGCCTCTGAGGTTGTATCCTCGCCTCGAGAAATTAAATATTTTTCCCGGACACATTTATCAACGAAAAATAACGGCTTTTCTCGCATGCGTATTTTGTTATCCATGAAATATGTTTTGTAAAAACTTAGGTCAGCGTTCGAAGCCGCGAGACCCTCCACAAAGGCGAACACTTCAATTTGCCAACCGTAAACGTCGCATTGCGCCATGTTTAACAGGCACAACATTTTTTTCAGAAAATATTGATGTATCAAAACGGGATGTTTAAGGTTTTCTTTTAATTCAGTGATATCTGACGATCTTTCGATGATATCTTGCAGCTCGTCCAAAACTCTCACAACGAACAATCCATGAATACACTGGATCGCTTGCATTTTTTGCTGGTACTTTTTAACGGACGCTTTTTTCTGGTTCAAACAGTCTTTGTCAAGGTCGCAGTCCGTCGTAAGAAGTTGAATGTCACTTTTGCCAAAATGAACATGTGTCTCGTCTAACGTCGACATATAATTTAAGGATCGTAAAACTCCCACATCATACAACTCTTCCAATTTAAATGTGTTTTCCTATTTCAATTGTGTTGTTTGAAAAT